TTGAGTTTAGTTGAGCTGTCTCCAAGGGAAGGTGACGTGTCCTGTAGAACTCCTGAGTGGATTATGTTTCCCTTTCGGCCCTCAGGCCCGCCGGAAATCCTGGGTACCTCTGGAAAACACCTCTTCGTCTCCTATGTGGGCTGGCCTCCCTTGTGCACACTCTTAAGCCGCCCTTCCGCCCAGGAGCACGCCGGAATTCCTGGGTGCCTCTGGAAAACGCCTCTTCGTCTCCTATGTGGGCTGATATTATCATATGAAAACTACCAGAAGCAGGGTCTTTGAGGCTCATGAATTAGCTGTCTCTGGAAGTAACCTATGAATTAGCTGTCTCTGGAAGTAACCTTTCACATTTCTCTTCTGTGAATACAGGAAGTCGGATGCAGTGGAAATGGATGAAATGATGGCAGCCATGGTACTGACATCCTTGTCCTGGAGCCCGATTGTGCAGAGCCCTCCAAGTGCTGAGGCCAACTTTTCTGGTGAGGAATTGGGGCCTCAGTGAGCTTTGGGTTTCAGGGACTGACTTCTTCTTCTTTGGGGCATCTACTAGTGAAAAATCACCAAACTAGCAATCGGATTTCTAGAGTTCCTCTTACTTCTACCCTCAGACTTGCTGAGTGACCTTTAGTTAGATGCTTCTGTTATTTTTCCTCAGTTTCCTCATCTGGGGAGAAGTCTCCTGGTGCATTGTGAAGATAATTGAGCACAGGACTGAGCCTCATTGGCTACCTTAGTAAGTTCTTTTATGGGAGTAAGTTGAGTGAGGCACATTGGACCCAAACAAGGCCAGAGGAAGAGCATTTAATTCACAAAGGTAGAAATACAGTAAATGGTTCCCTGGAGGCCTCATTCATGCTCTATTGCAAAGGTCCTGGTTCAGCCTTGTAAATGAGTGTGGGCCTGTGGGCCAAAGAAGGAGCTGTCGTGGTACAACAAAGTATTCAGCTGCTACCCAGAGGCTGGTGGTTCAGATCCTCCAGTGGCTCTGTGAGAGAAAAGACCGATGATGTACTTTTATAACTGTTCAAGAAAACCTGTAGAACAGTTCTGCTTTGTCATTTGTTGTTGTGTGCCATCAAATCGGAACCTACCCTCCATCAAGTTTTCAGAGGCAGTAAGTCACAGAGGAGGAGATTGCCCATCCTTCTCCCACGGAGCAGCTGTTGGATTTGAACCACATGCCTTCGGAATTGTAGTGCAGCTTCTTACTACCAGGCCACCAGGGCTCTCTCTCTGTCATATAGATAGCATCCCTATTAGTGTGAATTGACACAGCTTATACAACAGCAACGAAATAGACCGTAGATCTTAAATAAAGCAACTGAAGTCTAAAATCGTATTGTTTAATCAAAACAGTAGTATTAATTCAAAGCTAATTAGTAAAGTAAAACAAAATTCTTCTGGTTTGACTCCAGAATACACTGTTAATACTGAAGAAGAAAGGGTCTGCTGGATAGTAGCACTTTGGTAAGGCGGATCGTAGCCCTGAAGTTGTTTTGTACTTCATTACAGGGCTGGCCTAACGTACTCCCAGGGAAGAACTTTCTCATTGGTGAGATCTCACTGAATTGCAAGTGACTTAGTTAGGAGCTGGTAGAAAAACACAGGATGGATTTTAAGCACATGCCAGGAAAGAGATTGGCCTTTATCAGTGTCCCGCACACATAATCTCCCTGTATAGACATAAGTTTAAAGGCATGATTAGTCACCCAACGATTGGAGTACTGGAGTAAGTCAGACGATGGTGAGACCTAGGTGTAAAGCATAATATTGCCTGTCTGCACTTTCAGTACTTTGGAGCTTCATAAGCAAAAGGGAGAGGAAAAGAGGCAAATGCACATTGTCAGGGGATTCTGCAAGCTTACTATCTATGGATACTAGTCCATACGGTGAAGACGTAGGAAAATATTATAAAAGGAAAGAAAATCGACTCTCATTCCAGCAGAAGAGTATGTGCATATAAGTGTATATTACACACACAAACACACATGTGCCCCATTGTATACACGTCTTACTCATAATACAACATATCCTGAGATCGTTAATTTCTTTTTGACAGAAAGTTTCATTATCTATTAAAGATGTCTTTCTGCTACAGAACATTTCTGGTTTTATTGTTGAAGTCAGTGGAAAAAGAACGCTTCCTTGCACTTGTTTTGACAGTACATATACTAAAACTAGAATGATTCAGAGAAGATTACTGCTGCAGTATCGGAAGAATGATTGAGTTGACAAATGTTTTGTTATATATGATTAAAAAAACCCAACCAACACAACAAAACAATAAACACCCTCAGCTTCCTTGGTAGCAAATTAGAGTTAGTTTATTTAAAGATTGATTATATGGAAAATATTCTTTTAAAAGAATAACAATAGTTTTTAATATTTAATGGAAATGTGTCCATTGTTTGTTATGGAAACATTTCTGCTTCATAAGTGTTAGACGAAGACAGAAACCCAGTAATTACTTTAAGAAAGTGACATATCTGCTCCCCTAGATATAAATTCTAGCTTGGATGACAGGCTGTTATTGGAATATTCTGCAGTGTGAGGTATATAGACAATAACAGATACCGGCTTCTAATTGTGGGTACTCTACCCATAGCCACCTCTTATCTTTAGTCTCTGTATTACTTGGATGGCTCTGTGTGTGTATAGAAATGGCAAGAGCAAGGAAGTGATTAAGTATTTCTTAAAAGTTTATTATGAACCCTTAATGTTTTGTATTTTCAGTGGAATACTTGATTTTCATGGTTTTGGGTATTTACTATCCTTGAGCTAGGCAACCAACCAGCCAAGTAAATTGAGTAACTTATGAACTTAGTTTTATCCTATAATTTACAGGTAAATTTATGATACCAGCTTTTTGCTTTTGCTTTGTGTTTTTCTTCTCTTGCATGCAGGCTCTCCAGTTTTGGAGTTTGAGCCTTTTTTTTTTAACTCTTGTATTTTTTTTTTTACTCTTGTATTGGAGTTTGAGCCTTTTGAAGTGGCTGTGTACTGTTTCTCCGCAGGAGATCCTGCTGTAGGGTTTGTTACATACTGCCTGTCCTGTCATTGTCTTCACCATCTTGACCACTACAGATGTAGTTTCTTTCTTCCTGACACTTTGATCCCTGTGAGTTTAGACGTGGGAGCTCCGATGGTGTCATCTGTAAAGAATTCACTGATAACCCAAAGGTTGTGCTTCTCTGGTTGTTCAAATCCACCATCAGCTCCATGGGAGAAGGAGGAACAGCTCTTCCTGTGTGATTTACAGCCTCTAAAGAGAGAAGTTAATGGACATGTTTCTGGGGGCGGGGGCGCTGTTCCTTGGAGACAGACATGATGCTCGGGGAAGGCAGAAAGTTGAAGGAGGTGAGGACCATTGATCGGCGGATTGACACAGTGATTGCCGCAGTGAACTCTAGTGTGTCGGGAAGTGTGAGGATGGCACAGGACAGGACAGGGTTCAGATTTGTTGTTCATAGGGTCGCTACAGTTGTACTCCATGTACAACAACAACTACGACTACTACAAAGACAAGGAGGGTCAGCTATGAGTTGGTTCCAACTTGAGTGTAATGAATTTGACTTTTTGAGATTAGAAGAAGGGCTTTGGGGGACATGAGACATGATATCTGCATGCTTCACAATTGTTTCCTCTTTCTATCAGCATTTTAGTCCTTCTGTAGGAGAAATTAATCCGAGCTTGTTGCCTAGGTGTGAATGAGTTGGACCTGCCGCAATCCGAAGCTGGACAGTTTCAAAGCTGAGGATTTAACGCAACTCCCGCACCTTCTCCTTGTTGAGATGCACTGCCGGGAACAGGGCTGGTGGTTCAGGGCCTCATGAGGCAGAGGAGTTTCCAGTCATCTGTGATTAGTTAGAATTACTCTGAAAGGTTGTCCTGTCTTGTCTTCTCCAACTGTACCTCTTCAAATAAGAAGAGCAGCCTGCGCTGCCGCCAGCAGTGGTAGATGTTAGACCCTCCTGATAGTTGGAACAACTGAAAGGTTTCTTTTCACTCACAGGCTTTAGTGCTCTTGCTGCGATTTAAGCTACTGAAAGGTATTTTCCAAAAACACCTTTTAACTTGACCTTTCCGTTCTGAATAGGGTGCCTAGCTGTAGGGCAGACATCCTAAGTGGTATTTCACGTGCTTTTATGTTTGTGTTCTCACCCACCTGTGGAGGCATGCTCCCTCCACCTGGAGTGGCAAAGCCAGAGCCTGCGATTGATGTGCAGAAGCAGCTCCCGGATATGAACGCGTGGTCTCTTGGCCTGGACTGCTAGTGTGGAATCAGTGCTGTACTGGAGCCCTGGCCAGGTTCTAGTCCATGAATATCCCCTTGTCTTCTCCCTGGCCAGCTTCCCGCACCTCCTGTGATCTGTGGAAGGAGAGCGGCGATGTGTCCGACAGTGGCAGCAGCACCACCAGCGGACACTGGAGTGGGAGCAGTGGCATTTCAACCCCCTCGCCTCCCCACCCCCAGGCCAGCCCCAAGTATTTGGGAGATGCCTTTGGTTCCCCACAAACCGATAACGGATTTGAAACAGACCCTGACCCTTTCCTGTTGGATGAACCAACTCCACGCAAACGAAAGGTATGTGGTTGTGCTGTGAATTGTGGGGCTGATGTCTGCATAGTGGTGCGAGGGGCAGGGACAGTCAGTAGAGGGCGGGCCCTCCAGGAGTTGGACGCTCCCAGCTTCGTCCCTTTCGGAAAGGGAAATGCTTTCTCTTGCTGCTTTTGTTACCTCATGATAGTCCCAGGAGTCTACTCTTTTTCATGAGTGAGGCTCTGGTTTGTTTTTAGCCTCTATCCCTTCCTTCCTGTGGCTTGATAGAGCTTTATGCATGCGAGTTCTGATGAGGTCTTCTCTGCACCAGCAAGCGTGGCTGTTTGCTCTTCCGGCCGTTTCGTAGGTGCAGGTTCTCTGGCTCCTGGTTGTCAGGATCTTTGGTCCAGTAGAACCTCTTTCCTAGATGTTTTTGTTTGGTTCTTCCAGAACGCAGAGGAGAGTAGCTGCGTGATATGGAAGCCTTCCCTGGGTTGGGGTGAGAGGAGGGAGAAGAACATAACCCAGTGACCTGCTCTGCCTTTCCCTCTAGAACTCTCTGAAGGTGATGTACAAGTGCCTGTGGCCAAACTGTGGCAAAGTTCTGCGCTCCATAGTGGGCATCAAACGGCATGTCAAAGCCCTCCACCTGGGGTGAGTATGAGCTCCATTTTTACCTGTGGTACCTTGCAGGAGTTCACCTTGCAAATTCATCATGACCCATAGCTCAGAATGCCTTTAAGAAAAACACTTATTGAGAACACCACCTTTTCACTTCCTTTCCTCTCTGTCTGGCAACATAGCCCCATGAAAGGATACCTTAGCCCAGAAGGAAGAAGGTTCCTGTTCTGCAGACTGGTGACAGTTTGCTCTTGGATGAGAAAGGAGCTCTGTCTATCTCATGGATGTGTCTTCTTACCTCATTGTAGAAAACAAGGTGTCTTGAGTTTGCAACAGGGTGGAATTGAGGCAGTTTGGTTCAATTACTGGTGATAACTGCAATCCAAGAATTAGAGAGGCTGGGTTCTGGGGAGTTGGAGGGCTGTTGGCATTGACCTTCTGGATCCAGGGGCTTTATTGTCTGCAGATCTGGGGCTGAACTTCATGGCTGCTCATAACAGAGGAGATAGCTCACAGGCCCTGAGGAAGGCTCTTGACTACAAATAGATAGGGTCCAGGAGGACTCATGGCAGAGCTCAGAGTGTATGACGGATGACTGTTGGAGGAGAGAGGTTCACACACATTTCTGTCAGAGCAAAGGCCTTAGGCAGGAGACTTACCTCCCAGTGACACCATGTCAGGAGATGGGCTCCTGGTTGCTCCGTGGTTCTGGCCCCAAGCAGCTGCTAGTCCCCTGTTCTGAGCTGAGGTGGCTTGCACCTAATCCTGGCCATGTCCCCATATCACACAGGGACACTGTGGATTCAGACCAGTTCAAGCGGGAGGAGGATTTCTACTACACAGAAGTCCAGGTGAAGGAAGAAGCTGCCGCTGCTGCTGGCACCCCTGCCCCTGGGACCCCCACAGCGGAACCAGCTTCTGTCCCCAGCGTCAACAGCACACCCCTTGCCATTCTTTCACCGCCTCCTCCCAAAGCCCAGTCCACAGGCCCAGAACACGCTGGCCTGGAGTCTTACCTGCCTTCGGATGCTCTCAGCAAATCGGCTCCTGGTTCCTTCTGGCACATTCAGGCCGACCATGCATACCAGGTATGGGCTGGGACACTAGGAGTACAGCCTCGGGGCTGTGGGGACTCTTGGGCTGATTTACAGCTGCCCACCCTTGTCAGAGATGCTTGACAAGCCTTCCTGAAGGCTGAATCCTTTGGCCGAATTGCTCATCTCTTGTATAAAAAAGGAACAGGCAAATTATCGCACATTCAATAAATGTGGGAATTCCAGAGTTTGACATTGGTAGCTGCCCTGAGTGGTAGCCATCTAGTTGAATTTCCCAAGTAACCAGGGTAATTTCTTTGGATTGGAGAATTATTGTATCATGGTTTGTTAAAGCTGATGAAATAGTGGAGTTAGGGTTCCCAGAGCAAATCTCTAGTTCCTAGAATGACGCTCTAGTAACATTCCAGCAATCAGTTTTTGTTTTGGTGGGATTTTTTTCCCCCTTTGAAAGTTTACAGAGCAAATTCATTTTTTTTCCCATTCAACAGTGTACACATACTTTGTTTTGTAACATTAGTTACAATTACTCCAGTATAACAGTGCTCCTCTGACCTGTTTTTTGGGTTCCCATGCCCATCTGCCTTCTTCCTTGCCCTTTCTTAGCTCTAAGATTTGTCTTTGGTCAGATTCTACTCTCTTGCTCTCCTATGGTTTATTGTAAGAGCATGTTTCTCTCAAGGAGGCATCCACAGTAGGCCTGTCTGTTGTCTGGCAGAGTGTGGTCCTTGGGGGTTCAATTCCAGATTTGAAGAATATCCGAGGGGCACAGGCTTAGGCTTCCACCAGTCTCAAGCCAGTAAGCCTAGTCTTCTTCCGTGCAGCAACCATTGTTTGAATATCTACATGTGCCAAGCATTGATAATGAGCTTTCCAGATAAAACAAGACATAATTTCTGCCCTTGTGAAGTGATCTAGGTGGAGAGAGGAAAATGTAATTCTGATTAATGATAATAAATAACAAAAGAATGAAATATGTGAGTGTAATGAACAATCAGAATAGCCTATAATAAGTAGTCCACAATGCCTTGACTGAAGGTGTGAGCAAAGTATCGGTCTGAGAAGAAACACACTGTTAACCTGTGAGGCTGGGAAAAGTGACCATGGAGGAGGTGACACTGAGAGTGGCTATTTCTGTACTTAGTAGGTGCGCAGTGCCTGTGCAGCTGCTCTGTGCCACTTTTCCTTAAATCTTGTTTGCCTCCAGTTTGATTTTATCAGACATTGGGATAATTTGCAGGTTAGTCATTTAAAAAGCAGTGCTTTGAAAATGAGCCAGCTTTCCCTCTGATTAGAGAGCGTGGCTGCTTCAGTGTTTCAGGTTTGCCTCACTTCAGCCGTGACCGACTGAGGTGGATGGCTGATGCTTCCACAGATAGACCAGAACCTTACCTGTCCATGCGAGTGTTGTCTCACGGTCGTTGCCTGGAATGCCCCACCACACTTTCTGTAGCAGTGCCACTCATGCATAAAGACTTCATGAGATGCCTTTTGGAAATGCCTATAGCATGTTCTTGGTAGATAATCAACCTGTTTTCATCACTTTGTGATGATTAAGTCATTGGGTTGGCACACCAGCCAGCTTTAAGAGCAACTCCCAAGAATAGTTCCAAAAGATTAGAGCCTTGGATTGAGGGGATAGCTTCAAACATTTAGAAACTCTTGTTTCTCTTGGGAAGATACGGCCTGTGTTTCTCAGTATTTTCTGGTCATCTCAGACACAGACATGAGCCTCCCGCTGCAGAGTGGTGGGTTAGGGATGATCAGCTGACTCTGAGAGTTTACTGGGATGGGATGTTGGCTGACACCCTCTTGTCCCAACAGGCTCTGCCATCCTTCCAGATCCCCGTCTCTCCACACATCTACACCAGTATTAGCTGGGCTGCTGCACCCTCCACAGCCTCCCCTCTCTCCCCGGTAAGTGACTCGAAGCACTGTCTGGGCTCAGGCTCTTTTTCATATCGACAGTGCTGGGGAAGAATCAATGCCTTTAAGCTGTGGTGTTAGAGAAGAGTACTGAATATCCCGTTGTTGTTGTTGTTGTGTACTGTCAAGTTGGGACTGACCCATAGCTGACCCTCCAGCAGGTTCTCTGAGGCAGTTAATCACTTGGGAGGAGACTGCCCATCCTCTCCTGTGGAGCAGCTGGTGGCCTCGAACCCTGTGTCTTCGTTATTGCAGCCCAACTTCATGCCACTAGGCCACCAGAGCTCCCTGAATATGCCACGGACTGCCAAAAGAACAAATAGATAGGTCTTAGAGAAGGTGTAGCTTAGAGTGCTCCTTGAAGACAAAGAAGATAAAGCTTCATCTCACGTTCTTTGGGCATGTTGCTAGGAGACACTATGTTCCTTAGAGAGGGACATCACGCTTGGAAAGGTGAAGGGACAGTACCTCTCAAGAGAGAGGAAGACCTTCAACCAGATGAATTGACACTGCAGCAATCAATGGAATCCAGTATGTCCGAAATTGTGAGGATGGCACAAGATAGGACCGGTTTCAGATCTGTTGTTACAGATTCACTATGGGTTGTACTCTACTTGATGGCACCTAACAGTAACAACAATGCCAGAGATCTCCAGCCCTTTACTTCTTGAAACTCCTGATGTACTCGCCTCTCCTGTGATAATCCCCCACTGGAGACAGGCTCACTTAAAGGGTAGGATGAGGGTGCTTACAGAGGAGCATAGAGATTAAGCAAGTTCATTGTCAAGAAAATCCCAAGGCCAGGTTGTTTGTAGGTGTCAATTACAGTTTTCATATCAAGAAGAAAGGAAAGGAGACACAATTGAAAAGAGAAAAAAGAAAGTGGGAACAGTGAAGAAGATAGAGCACATGAAGGGGTATAATGAGTCAAAAGTCTCCATGTGCTTTATGGACCAATGTATTACGCTATTTGTTCTCGAGCTAAATAAACGGCACGTGATTTTGAGTCATTTCTCCTGAGTTCTAGCTGTAAATGTGTCATGCAGCAACAGTGTCACTGCACGCTTCAGTGCTGGAAGGTGCCGTTGAGGCCGTGGAGTCCCGCCCCTTTGTTTCCTAGACTGTTGTTGTTGTTGTGTGCTGTGGACTTAAAACCAGCTGGAAACTCACTGGTGTTCCTAGTGACCTAGTGGGTAGGGAGTTGCGTTGCCAACCCAAAGGCACATGGTTTGAATCTCCCAGCTGCTCCATGGGAGAAAGAAGGGCAGTCTCCTCCTGTGTGATTTACAGCCTCTGAAAACCCACTGAGCCAGGTCCTAGACAGTAGCTGTCTCTCCTCTAGAGAACAGTCCAGTGGGCAGCTGGCCAGTGACTATCCTTGGCCCCGCTATTGTTCTCCACTTGGTCTTGAGCCTTGAAAGCCTGCTTCCGCCACACACCTCTAATGTGGCCCCTGATGCAGAACCCTCACCTCTCCCTGAAGCAGCCCTGCTGAGAAGGCACTGTTGCTGCTGTGTCAGTGCATGACACGAGCCCAACTCTCAGAGGGGATCAGTCAGGGATGCTGCCTGCACTATAGAGGAGGGCGGCTCTCACCTCTCCTGACGGCCCTCATGCTCCCGGTCTCAACTTAAGGTCCCTCTCCCTGTGCCCAGGTCCGGAGCCGGTCACTCAGCTTCAGCGAGCCTCAGCAGCCACCACCTGCAATGAAATCTCACCTGCTTGTCACTTCTCCACCACGAGCCCAGAGCAGTGCCAGGTGAGAGGTCCCCCATCTTGTCTTTCTCTCTGGCTTCTGTCCCCGCCCTCTCCACCGAAGTGGCAAAGCGGAGTCCTCTAAAAGTGTCACCTCCAGTGAGGGGAGTTCAGATGGGGTACATGCTATCTGGGAAGGCCTGTCTTCTGTGTCTCTGACCACCTGCCTTGTGGGTTTCAAGCCACTGGCCCTTCGGTTCCGAGCCAGCCGCTCATCCCAGTCTGTGTGTTTTCCGAGCCTCGTGTTTGGCCACGCTCCAGATCTAACCACCAGCGCGTGACTGTGTACTCTCATTACTCTTTCTTGGCAGGAAAGCCCGTGGGGAAGCTAAGAAGTGCCGCAAGGTGTACGGCATTGAGCATCGAGACCAGTGGTGCACAGCCTGCCGGTGGAAGAAAGCCTGCCAGCGATTCCTGGATTGAACCTGTCCAACCGGCTCAGCCCTGCTCTTTCTGGCCCTGACCTGCAGTTGGATGACAAAAAAGGCAGCGTGTCACGAGAAGCCCTCAGCAGAAACTTAAAAGATAAAAGTGAAAATGTGGTGTTTGGGCTCTGTTGGCCAAGGATTAATACTTAAAACATTTTCCCCCATGTGAGAACATTTTATTTTTTTATAAAAGAAAAGAAACGATTTCCCCCCACCCCTAAAATAGGAGAGAGCCAGAACTGGGTGTTCTACAATGAACCAGAGACCAAAGAATGAATTACCCCCTTGCTCACACCTTGTTTCACTAGGGTGTTAGTTTGTATGCATCAAAAAAAGGGGCAGTGTGTTCTGTTTCTCGCTGAGTTGGTGAATTCTTTGCTTACTCAACTCTTCTGGAAAGGGACTATGAGCAAAATGAATTTATTTTTCTTTAAATTTTTTTTTTTAAAAAGAGAGAGGATGAAGAAGTTGTTTCCGTCTGATCGTTGGAGAGCAGGCCCCGTCACGGATGGGGAGGAGAGTGGGTGCCTGCACTCTCACGGGTGCCGTCTCCTCTCCTCTGTCTGGATCGGGATTGGGAGTGGGGAGCTCTTGCCCTCACCAAGCTGCTTCCATGGAAGTAAAAGGGAAACCCTTTTCTTGGTGATAGCTGTTTGAATCCGGGTTCCCTCAGAGGTTGGGTTTCTTCCCAACAAATACTCTATGGCTTCTTCTCAAAGCCCAGACTAGGTTTTTAAAGACTATCCCAAAGTAGCTGAGCCAAAAGGCTGAGGATTGATCGATACTTTTTGAAATGTGGCAGTTAAACACTACCTTGATCATTCTTTCCTGTTCTTTGAGGAAACACTAGAGGGTTTCGGTGTCTTTGAAGCTCTCTGCTGTTACATTCCTCTCGACGTTTCCTCCCTCCATTTATAGGCGTGAAACTTCTGAAACACATTTGTTTTCTTTAATGGTTAATTCTGAAGTCTTTATTCTGGACATTTTTATGAAAGCGGCCCTCTTACTTCAGTGACCCTCAGAAACTCCAGTGGGTTTTTCACTGGAGATCTTTCGCACATCCGTCCTAGGCCGCAGGCAGGGAGGGCGATGGAGGAGGTGAGAGAGGATAGAAAGACAGATGGCAGCTGCTTCCCATGGTGGAGGATTGTTCCATTAGTAATCTGCACCTCTAGGAAGGATCTCGTTTTCTTCCTCAGGTGTGAAGTAGCTAGCCCAGGACTCTTCATTTAACACGAGAGTAGTTCTGGATTCTTTGACCAAGGTGGGTCTGGTCAGCATGATATGGAGGGTCAGTTCTTTGGTTATAACCTCCCCAGATATTTGCTAAGCACTGTCTTTTGTCTAAAAGGCAGAATTGCCAAAACCACTGACCCTCTGCCTTCGAAGCAGTTCTGACTCCTATCCATCCTGCTTTGGGCTCCAAGGCTGTAAATCTTTATGGGAGGAGATTACACATCTTTATCCCTCGCAGTGGATTCCAGCTGCCGACCTTTTGGTTGGCAGCCTGATACATCACACACTCCACCAGCAGACTTCCTTGACAGTGGCATGGTGGAGGTTAAAGAGAGTCCTAGGGCAGGGAGTGAGGCAGAGCCATGAGAGATTCATGCTGAGGCAATCATGTGAAGGCATGGGGTTGAATTTGCAGCCACTGGAGTTTTAGGCCCTTAGTGTTTGTGGAAACCACAAGAGTTTAAAAGAACCTTGGTCATGTTGTTTATGAGGTAAATAGGCAACAAAGATATTGTTGTTGGAATCTTACCAACTTAATGAGCAGTAAAAACATGGGTTCTGAAAAGAGAGCAAATTTTTGTTGGAAACATTTGCCTTTCTTCTAAACAGGGCTTGCTCATGACTTCCTAGGGACTGTTTGAATGTGACCATTGTTGCCAGCTGTCTTGGTAGGAATCCTAGACCTGTGTGTCCCAAGTGTTGGAAGCTCAGGACATCCCACCAGGCCACCATTCCTGGGACTGAGTGGCAGCGTCCACACCTTACTTCTAATTGAGGCAGTCCTCGTGTGCTCAGGTGAGAGTCCTTGGCGACTATTGGAGCTTGATAGGACAGCTTCTCTTGGGCAACACACATGGGCTTTTCAATCCAGGACATGCTTAGTGGTAAAATAACAACAACAAGCCCAACCCTGTAAACCCAAGTATAGGGATGTGATGCTGTGAAGGATCTTGATAGCCTGGGCTTGGTGATGGAGGGGGAAGGTACACTTATGCATTGGTGTCTTTGGTGGTGATGGAGTATATTTTTATAACTTGTTTAAACACATTTATGTGGAACTCTGACTGCTTGGTAAAGTTAGAAATTAAGTCAGCAGGAGGAGGCCCAAGATTCTTCCTCTTCTCTCTCCTGCATCCTTGAGAATTCAGAGCTAATATCAGGCTATCCATTTTCCTGATCTCCCCATGTTCAGATCTTACTGCTGAGGGGATGGAGCATTTTGAGAAGTAGGGACTCAGCACAGGACCATCATCCCTTCTCTTCAGGCAGTTTTCTCAATCAGAGCTCTTCCTGAGTCTGTTCTTTTTAAAAAGCTGCTTTCACTTCTCTCCTCCCCTCTGTTTGGACTGTGTAGATATTACTGGATATAAAGATTGGCTCTCAGTGAAGTAGGCTTCTCAAGTCATTGGTACACAGGACAGGAAGGGATGATAAAAGAAGAAATGGATGGAACAGTGTAAAAGCAGAGTGTTTTTGTTGTTTTGGGGTTTTGTTTTGGTTTCCCTCTTCCCCTTTTTGTGGTGCAGCCTTCCTGTCCGCATTCACCCACGCTGTCACGTTGGTGACATGGTCTCCTCTGCTCGCTCCTCTGTCTTGTTGCTGTTGTGTTGGTTCTTGACATGTGGTCTGTCTTAGGGGTTGCCCCATTTGTTCTTCTCGGGGGGGTGGGGGTGGTTTGTGAACTGATCACGTGATCATGCTTGTTTTCTTCATCTCTGTATCTCCCGACTTCCCAGCCCAGCCAGACAGCAGAATCCAGTTGAGGGAAGATGCCAGAGGTGTGTTTTTGAAATGAACAGGACTGATTTTCAAAGCTGTTACCTTGGGAAACTGTACATATATTCCAGTGATGTCACCTTTATTCGTAATAATTCTTAGACTTAACCTTCGGAGGCTGCAGTGCTGTCTTTTGAATCGCCTTGCTGATGGTCAGTCACGAGTCTGGCAAACCATGCTTGTCGTCAAGTAGAGTAGTGTGAGGTCTTAGGTGCAAAGCAAAAGGGCTGATTATCAAGTAAAATTGCTTAGACTTGTTTATGTGGTTTTTAAACTGGCGCAGAAAGCAATCCTGTCATTTCTGAGTGTTTTGAGCAGTGGCCATGTTGCTGTGCTCAAGTCTATAGACTCCCAAGGTGACTTCTTGAAGGACAGTTTGGATATGGAAGCTCTCATTTGTTTGAAGCAGTCTGTCCTGTTATATTTTTGGTTGGTCATCTCAGGTTTTGACTTTACCAAGGGCAAAAAAAAAAAGAGAAGAGGGAGATAAATCCCATCTGTGAATTTGTCTTATTGGCGCCTTTTCCCCAGCTGTCTTCCGAGTATTATTTTTACTGTTAAAAATTTTTTAAATAAATGTGAAATGTAATGTTTTTACAGCAGCAATATGAAATATATTTTATAAAGAATAAAATGGTACCTTGTCTGATTTAATTTGTGTTTGGCCCTTTTCCCTCTTCCCCTGCAGAAAATGGTCATTGTTCTTGGTGTAAAGCACTTGGTATCATGTCACATTGTCAGCATAGCATATGCATCCATTTGTGAATAGTAACAGTAGGTTACAGTTACCAGATAGTTGGCCAAGTTCTAACATATACATTACCTGAAATCATTCCTCAGCATAGCCTACGAGGGAGTTAACTGTTCCCATTTTGCAGATAAGACAGAGTTAAATTACTTGCTTAAGGTCAGGAACTAGAGAATAATGGCACTAGATTTTAACCCACCCAGTAATTGTTTCCTATAATGCTTATCAAGAGAGCTCTGGTAGGCTAGATGCAAGAAGCCTCACCCCAAAGGCATGCAGTTGGAGACCCCCAGCTGCTCCCCCAAAGAAGGATGGGCAGTCTCCTCCTGTGCGATTAACTGCCTCTAAAAACCCGCCAGAGGGTCAGTTATGGGTCAGTTCCAACTCTATGGTACTAAACAACAACAATGCTATAATGACAATGGGGATAAAGTTCTTGGCCTTATCCCTAATGTATTGGAGAGTGGTCCAGTAAAGAGAATAGACTTGGTGGAAAACAAGACATACTCTACTTACAGGACAGTTTCTGAACCCAGGCAGCATTTTGGTTCACTTTATCGTCTACTCTCTAAAGACATGTAAATACATTACATGCATTAAGATGACTTGGGGATCTAGTTAAAAGCTTGCCTGGGTGGGAGGTTTGGCCGGCTTCCGTCACACCCTAGCTGCAGGGCTCAAGTGGCACAATGGAAAGGCACTTAGTGGCTAACAGACAAGCCAGCACTTCAGACAGACCAGTGCCTCTGTAGAAGCAGCCTCATGATCGCCTGTGAAAAACACAGCCTAGGCAACCTTATTCCAGAGTTTTATATAGGGTCACCATGAGCAAGATCAACAGTACACAACTACCCCTTTCCTGTACCGGGACTGCATGATGCAATTTTAGTTACAGGACTTGAAAAAAGGCTTATAAGACTTAAGTCTGCATAAAATCAAGTTGATGAAGCCGGAGATGTGGAAATATGTTTAATACTCAGAATTAGATGAGGTTTTCATCCTTATAAGAATCTGAAGTCATGATGGTGAGGACCAGTCATGCTATCATATTGGTTTTATGGGGACGCCGAAGACGGGAAGAGTGGACGGGTTCTGCAGAGGGGCATTCAGAGGCATTTGGGACAAGGAGTGGAGTTTGTTGTGGTCGTGTTATATACTTACTGTAAAGCCAGTTTTCAGATGCAGTAAATTGCATGGGATAAGCAGCTGGTGGATTTAAACCAAGAATCCTTTGG